CCGCCCCGCCCGCTCTCCCTTTCCCGCCCGGCCTCTGAGGCAGCGCCGCGTGCGGCCATGGTGGCCCAGCGCGCCGCGGAGGCCTCCCCTTCTTTTGTTCCTCAGAGCAAGCAAATGGAGCTTGTACCACATATTTATTAATAAACAGCACCCTCCGTGCCCAGCACCTCAGGAGGAGGCCTGTTACTACCTCTTTAGACTCCCATCTGGCAGAAAAGCCAAGGCACAAAGGGGTGTTGGCGGTTTCACAATCGGTTTCTCTAGTTGAAAAACAGAGCTTTGCATTAGTGACTGAAATAAATGAAGCCTTAGGCCCTGTGAATTGTACCTTAACCTTGGTTTCTACCTATGGAAATATACCTGGTAGGAAGGAAGTGCAAGTAAAACTTTAACTACAGGCTGTTCTGTAATAAAAGATAAGGAAGTGTCTCAAGACAGGCAAAAATAGCTAAAGCTGCTTGCAAGGCATGGAAGTCTCAGGCAGTTCTGTTGGCAGAATGATTTCCACCCTTTTGTTTTTCCTGCTTCCACTTCACAGACTTCCAGGTAAAAAAAACCAAACCAAAACAAAAAAAAAACCACAAAACAAAACCCCACAAAAAAACCCAATAAAAATGACCCTCAGCCTGACTGCATACAGCCCCAGTCACTGCCCCTGACAAAGAACTGACACAACACAAATGCCCTGGTCAACACATGAACCATGACATGCAGCAGTTTAACTCCTCCAGAACAGAGAAGCAGAAGCGCCTGCCTTAGAGCATGTCCTGGCTGGGAGGTGCTCGATCCTACGTTACTCCTTATAATACTACAGGCAGATGGATGCTTGGACTTGCTCACCAGCGATCAAGAGGGTTCTCCGAGGAAAACGCAGTGCAATAGTACACTAAAGTTTGGTTTCTTGTTAGATGCAGAGTGCGTCCCTCCTGCAGACAGAAGATTCTAGCCAGCCATAAGGACCAAAGTCTGTTTAACACTGAAGCGTGAATGCTCAGCTAAGGTTTAAGTTACAGCGCATGTAAATTCTGCCTACTGAAGATATGGAAACCCTCAGCTTCTGCTGCAGGTGAAAAATTTCATTATGTTCTGCTCTGACAGTTCACTTAAAGGACAGACTAAAATAATTTTCAGAATTCCAGTCTCAGACCTATAGCCATGTTCTACAGTTAGTTTCCAGCCTAAAGCCCATAAATAAATAACAAATACAACTCAGCTGATTCATTTAATAAGTCTACCATATTACAGACTAATACAAACCAACATTACAACCGTTACATACATAGTAATTAGTGTTTCAGACCTCATCTAAGGGAGATTACTTGATCATGAATAATCCTGCTGACTGAAGAAATAAAACTCCCTAAAAATGGATAAAACATTTTAAACTTAGTGTACACCTTACTAGCTGGTTTCAGTGTTCAAAACTAAATGTTCCTGTAGTAGACATTGTTCTATGGGAATGCTTATGTTGTTTTTGTTTCTTAAACTAAGAGTTAGATTGTGCTATTCTAGGGAATTTATAGGAACTGAAACACGAAAACTGTAGTATATTGCTAATATCTACTATCAAACTGTTATATATAAGTGTTAACCTAGTCCTTAAATCAGTATTTAATGAATTATATTTAACATGAAGACACTGATGTCTATAAGTACTAAAACAGACAAGATTTACAACAATTTTAAAAAGGCAGAAACTTATAAATTCAAAAGTTTAGTGACTCGGGCAGTCAAATTTCACCTTAAGCCATCCATGCAAGTCTTAGATAGCTCCTCTCTGAAAGCTGCTAAAATAAAACACCCCTGAACTCTCCTTAAAAAAGATCCAATCTTTAAAAAGTAGTATTAACACTACACGGGCGTTACTTTTCTACTTCAGCACTTGTTTCCTTGAGCGCATTGCTCTGTTTGTGGATAAATGCAGTGGCTTTTTATTCCAGTTCTCCCAGCTGTTCAAATGAAGAGACACATGGATCTTGATCTTTAACGGTATCTGACTTGCACATCTTCTCCCGAATGCGTTGAGAATATCGCAAAGGGGTTACAATTTTCAGGTCTTTAGCACTGGAGTCATTTGCCTCATGGTGCATCTTCACACTTTGGAAAAGAAAAAAATAAATAAATCACGAAACATAGGCATACCGTCATACAAATTACCTCTGTAGCATCTATCAGAAACAGCAAGACATGATTCCTATTCAACTCTTTCCCATAGCCAAAGGAAATGGGAAAGAGGCCCTTTACGATTCGTACAGTTAAAACTAGATGTACAATTCTTCTTGGGCAAAATATTTTTATCTGGAGAATCTCCTGAAAAAGAGTTTCCAAAGGAAGATTCCCTGCTATTCCACTGGGGGAAACTGTTCTCGCTGCTGTGAAGGATAGCAGACAGCTGCCAGGAGTCCAGATTCATCAGATGCCAAAGCTGAGCACAACTTATGCTAAGTCTGCAATCTTAGAAGAAAGCTTATGGCAAAAAGGAATTTAAATGTTATCTGGTTTGTCCTGAGATTACTACACAGATTTTTGCTTCAGGATACAGTTAAGATAAAGATGTAACTGTCCTGTAAAGGTTATCACTTCTGTGTTGTATGACATACAACCACATCTACATTTAAAAAGAGGACAGGAAACAACTACTCGCTCTTTACTTAGATCAGTGTAGAACTGCTACTGCCACGTGGGCTGTGGTAGAAGATCCTAAACGTGGAATTCATAGCTCTGCCACAAAGAGGTTTGATCACTCTGTAGTGAGGCATTAAAAAGCAAAACAGTTTGAGTAAATAGAGGAATTTATTTAAGAAGACTTCCTTCTGAAAGAAGAGGAAGCAATCCTAAGAAACTAAGTTCTTGAGAGCTTTTAACTGAGTGTTCACCAATGCAGTGCCTTGCTGTTTCAACAGAGCACAAACATGACTGCTGCTTCAGACACTGCAAACTTTCCATAGTTACCTGAAGTAATCTTACCTTTCCAAGTATGGTGTGGTAGATGGATTGTATCTCATTAAATAAGATGTGTCATTCTCCTTCTCAGGACAATTAACTGGTTGGGCTACATCTTTTACCCCATCCTCATTCTGCTCTTCTGTTTCACATTTTCCTTTCTTTTTTGTACGTTCCTTAGTCTTGTGCTTTTTATTCTTTTTTGGCAAGATCTCTTCTCCCGGTTTCCAGTCTAAATCCATTTCTTCTTTTTTGATCACTTCATTGCTAGTCTCTGCCTTCTTGTCATCACTCTCTGCTTTTCGGTCATCATCAGAGCAGAGATCCTTGAAGGCCTCCTGAGCCTGCTCTGTAGATGAATTTGGTTCCTTGCTGACTTCCACTACCTCATTTAAATGAGCTTCTATCACAGTTCCTCCTAAAATAGAAATATTGAAGAAGGTACAGCTGTGGTTAGCTACAAATAAAGAGAAGTTAATGTTTTAGAGATATTTCTAAAATCTTAAAACTTTACATAAAAATGAAAGTTAAGTATGCATGGAGTCTGAATGACAGCAATTTAAGTTACTAATAATTTTAGTCAAGAACCTGCAACCTGAAAACTCAGGCTAAATACATCCTGAGAAGTCATTCTCTTCCTTCCCAAGCACAGCAGCTCTGAACAAGTACTTCGGTCAGTTTCTGGAATCATATACTTGTCACGTTATGTTACATTAAACAGGAATGTATATGGCTACTTTACTTCCAAAATTGGAATATTTACCACTTTTAACTGACGCTGTGCCGTAATACAACCATGCATCTGCTAGTGAAGGAGTTTATGTATCAAAGAGGCAACAGACTTTTAGCTCACAAGAATGTTTTTATTTACTCTTTTGATTATCAGGCTAAAATAGCTGGACGACATTGCTTTGATAGAGTTTAAGTAAAAAGTTTGAATATGAAAGCATATCCACTACTTATTTTAACATGTCCACAATTGAAAATTATTAGTTTGGTCAAGCTTGATTTCAAAGACTGTCGAGTACAAAATGATCACAGAGAAGTTTCCATGAAATAGAATTTAATATAGGCACAAATATTTTAAACAGTTAGCTTGTGTTGTCCGTCAAGCAGACATTTAACTAGAATAGAGTACTCGGACTTACCATCCTCAGACTTAAAAAGGCTTTCGGTATTTTTTATAGTGTTTATTAGTGTGTGTCGTAGTTCATCTTTAGGCTGTGGAAAAAATGTATTGTCTCAGAAAAACAGTTCAAAAATTAATCATAATTTCAGCTTATTTGGTATAACAGTTACAGGGAAAGTGGTACAGACCGCATGTTCCTGTTTCAAACCCTTTATTTAATGTTGTTCAGACATAAGTCAGAACACAAGTGAATCCTGTATTTGGTGCATTAAGGCTACATTTGATGCCCTGAAATCTTGCTGATATTAAAGCATAGGAGTTAAGTCCATCAACAAACATAAAATTAAGTTCTGGTTTTTTTGGGTTTCTAGTGATACTAGAAGTCTCAGTCCTTAATTTCTTCTAGGCAGAACATCATATGTTATTTTGATGATCCTAAACCTTTCCTCTTGAAAGTACTGAAGTGTATACAGTGGTTACAGAACAAACTAAATCCAACTTTTTATGTCCAATTAGGTCACATGGCTCTCCTACTATAAAAGGATTTATTAAAATCAGAAGTAGTTGTATTTTATATACCATACTTTCTTGCTTTTATATTTGTTAATCTCAAACTTCAAGACAAGATGCTCACCACTGCTCTTGCCAAAATGGCCTCCTCATAGACAGCAATAAGCTTTTCAAGAGGGCCCATCTTTTCAAGACGCATACAGCAGATCCAATATTTAGCAAGCTTTTTAGCCCCAGGAATGCTCTGTGTCAGATCTTCCAATATGGCACGTACTTCATCACCTTGACATCCCTAAGTGCAACACAAGAGGAGAGATTTAAATGCAGTGAACACTGAGGTGCTGTGTTTTAGCTGGTTTTGAACTAGAAAGCAAGTATTTTTCTTTCTTTCTTTGGAGAGTAACCCTGAAAGTTGAAGATGGCAAGTATTTCCAAGACTGAGCTATGAACTTGAGCAGAAGAATTGTCATTCACCTGTTCTTCCAAATGAGAATAATTTACACAGTATTTCAAGTAGAAGCGATACTAAAACGCATAGACATCTTCAGAACTACTGAAAGCAGACATTTTCAGAAGCCCAGGCAAGTTTCTGCAAATGCCAACTTGTTTTAGATTAATTACTTCATAACTTCTCATTATGTTACAGTTTTTCTACTTTATTATGCTACAATTATTGCCTAAACTTACTGGGTAGTTCAATAAGTTAGTGATGCTTGAGCGAGAACTAATTTCTTCAGGTTTCAGCAAAAAGCTATGATATTGCTTACCTTGGGGAACAATTAGTTCCCTGCATCTGATTCACAGGTCCAGCATGCCCATAGGACTTGCATGTTGTAGGGACCTGCATGATTAGAACTTGGTAGGCAAGGGACTGAATACCTGTTCGATTAACTGCAGACATTCTGCAAGAGTCTTGTTGACCTTTTCGCTATGTAGTACGTGCTCTAAAGAATCACCAGAAGAGAGTTCTTGTTCTTCACTTTTAGACTGGAGTCCCAGAAGTACAGATGTAGGAGGTCTCCTCATCACTTTTCCTCTGGATGCCCTCCATTCATCCAGGCGAGCCCTGCATTTAAGAATATTATTAACTGAAATGACAGATATTTTATAATTTTTTTTTTTTTTTTTACACTAACTGACACTAAGTAGGGCAAGTCATACAAAGACGTACTTTCTAGACAGTCCTTGAGTCCTCTCCCTTCAATCCTAAACAGAATACAGCTGCCTTTTAGACATGCATGGAAACTTCAGAACCATGCGTATCACTATCTGCTTTAGGTATCTATCAGATTAGAACACTGTAATTTCTCCCTTTCCAGCAGCAAGAGACTTAGGCTACAGACCCTTTTACCAGAGAAGGTAAAAACTGCTCCCAATTTATTAATCTGTGTCACCTCTCTTCCCTAGTCCCACTTCAAACCAGGAAACTAGAAACTATCTCCAAGTTAGACGTGAAGCATGGAGAGCAGCCCAAAACCATCCTATCACACGACTTCTAAAATCTGAAACCTGATGTATAAGCCTAATTCAGTCCTCATACATATTTCATTTCAACCCCATCCCCCTAGACCAATTTCTAGTAAATGTGACTTTCGACAAAGAGCTCTACCAAGAATACTAAATAATTTTTAGATTACAAATCATCTAAGCTGCTTTCACCAAGCTGAAAAATATATAATTGACAAGTGTTCTCCTGCAGTCCATGAACACGCTCAGTTCCATATACATCCTGCTTCAGTCTTTTTCTTTTTTTAAGTAGTGGCATGCACGTGCAATTCACTTACGGGGTTATCTGTCATGCTTAAGGTTGTCACAACACTTAGCCTAAAAACCAGACAGCCTGAGCAGTATACATTTTCTATTTATAACTGCACAGGACAAGCTGTAAGCCTGAAGAGTTGCTGCAATTAGTCTGAATCCTGATTTCTCAGTATTAAGTCTACAGTTTTAGTCTGCTGCCTTTGGGCATCAAGTTCAAGCACTCAGTTCTCTCATTTTTCAGTAGATCTACAGCAAGAAATAGATCAAAATAGATATTCTTGGAAAGAAGGTCTAAATACCTCCCAAGATCAAGCTACAACATTAATTCAGTTACCTTCTCTCTTCTGCAGACTCTTTTGGCAGAACAGATTTTCTGTTACCATTGGGTTTAGAATTCTGTCCTGACTTTGTACCAGGAACAACAGAAACTGGTTTTGCATCTTCACAAAAATCTGCACATTTCTTCACTTCTAGCATGCGGTGGTCAGAATTGTTAGAAGCAGCCTTCAGCGGCTGTGGTCCCCTTCCGCTGATCAATTTTTGGACTGTTACTTTCTTTGGTGCTACAGCAGATGTCGGTTGCCTCTTCTTCAGACTGAACTCTGAGTTAATAGCAGCTTTGTCAGACTGTTTGCTCTGGAATGGTAGGACACCATTTGGTTTTACAGAATTAGGGTTGTTTGTGACTTTGGTGGTCTTCAGAACTACACTACGGCTGCTCATGGACGAAGAACTTGCTGCTGGTTTGGTGGCAGAAGGACAAAGCATCTTGTCTGGCAAAGAACTCTTTTCCCCCTCACTTCCTGGTGTTTTTCGGAAGGAGTTTATCTTGGATTGGATAACTTTGCCACGATATGTACCAAGTACTGGTTTCTTGGGTAGGCTGACGCTTGAATTTTTTTTTTCTGCAATCAATTGCTTCTCTTTTATGCTTCTTTTTTGCAGGAAGGACTTGCTAAGTGACACATGCTGACATTGTATTTCAGTGACTTCATCCTTGGAAGCATGATCTTCAGGATTATAGTTTGTGCCTGATACAGAATCTGTCACTGTGATTGTGGAAGAGTTTAAAATAACATTTTTTCCTGAGGTTCCACTTGATTGGTCCCATGACAGTTTATTAGCGTTCTCTTTATTTTCCTGCAATCAAAAGCATATTCATGGAGGTGTTATAAGTACATTCATGTTGCGTGTTACTTGTTTCCACAGAGGCTTTCACTCATTTGGCCTCCTCAGGGATCTGCTTGGTAGAATAGCATGGGTTAAAGCCCTAGAGGGAAGAGAGGCCCAAGAAAGCTGGTCATTATTCAAGGATCACCTCCTCCAAGCTCAGGAGCAATGCATCCCGACCAAAAGGAAGTCAGGCAGTAACACCAGGAGGCCTATATGAATGAACAAGGAGCTCCTGGCCAAACTCAAGCAGAAAAAGGAGGCCTACAGAGGATGGAAACAAGGACAGGTAGCTTGCGAGGAATACAGAGAAATCGTTCAAGTAGCCAGAGAGCAATAGAGGATGGAAACAAGGACAGGTAGCTTGCGAGGAATACAGAGAAATCGTTCAAGTAGCCAGAGAGCAATTTAAGAAAGCTAAAGCCCTGACAGAATTAAATCTGACCAGGGATGTCAAAGGGAACAAGAAAGCCTTCGTTAGGTTTGTCAGGATAGAAGGAAGACTAGGGAAAATGTGGGCGCTCTCCGGAAGGAATCTGGAGACCTGGTTACCTGGGACTTGGAGAAAGCTGAGGTGCTGAACAACTTTTTTGCCTCAGTCTTCAACAGCAAGTGCTCTAGCCACAACACCCAAATTGCAGAAGGCAAAGGCAGGGACTGGGACAATGAAGAACCGCCCACTGTAGAAGACCAGGTTCAAGACTGCCTAAGGAACCTGAAGATGCATAAGTCCATGGGGCCTGATGAGATGCATCCGCGGTCCAGAGGTCAGTTGATGGGTGAAGTTGCCAAACCACTCTCCATCATATTTGAGAGGTCATGGCAGTCTGGGGATGTCCCCACTGACTGGACAAAGGGCAACATCAACCCCATTTTTAAAAAGGGAAAAAAGGAAGACCTCGGGCTCACCTCTGTGTCCAGCAAGATGATGGAACAGATCCTGCTCGAAACCGTGCTAAGGCACATGGATAACAAGGAGATGATTGCGGACAGCCAGCATGGCTTCACCAAGGGCAAATTGTGCCTGACCAACTTGGTTTCCTTCTATGATGGGGCTACAGCATTGGGGGACACAGGGCGGGCAACTGACATCGTCTGCCTGCACTTGTGCAAGGCATTCAACCCTGTCCCGCATGATGTCCTTGTCTCTGAATTGGAAGGATATGGATTTGACAGATGGACCACTCACTGGGTAAGGAACTGGCTCGATGGACGCACACAAAGAGTTACAGTCAATGGCTCGATGTCCAGGTGGAGACCAGTGACGAGTGGTGTGCCTCAAGGGCCGGTACTGGTGCCAGTGCTGTTTAATATCTTTGTCGGCGACATGGACAGTGGGACTGAGTGCACCCTCAACAAATTTGCTGACGACACCCTGCTGTGTGGTGTGGTTGACAAGGTGGAGGGAAGGGATGCCATTCAGAGGGACCTTGACAGGCTGGAGAGGTGGGCCTGCATGAACCGCATGAAGTTCAACAAGGCCAAGTGTAAGGTCCTGCATGTGGGTTGGGGCAATCTCAAACACAAGTGCAGGCTGGGCGGAGAGTGGCTTGAGAGCATCCCTGAGGAGAAGGACTTGGGGGTACTGGTGGATGAGAAGCTCAACATGAGCCAGAAATGTGCGCTTACAGCCCAGAAAGTCAACCGTATCCTGGGCTGCATCAAGAGATGCATGACCAGCAGGGCGAGGGAGGTCATTCTGCCCCTTTTCTCTCATGAGACCCCACCTGGAGCACTGTGTTCAGCTCTGGAGCCCCCAGCATAAGAAGGACATGGTTGTGTTGGAGCGGGTGCAGAGGAGGGCCACGAAAATGATCAGAGGGCTGGAGTACCTCTCCTATGAGGACAGGCTGAGGGAGCTGGGGCTGTTCAGCCTGGAGAAGAGAAGGCTCTGGGGTGACCTTATAGCAGCCTTCCAGTACCTGAAGGGGGCCTACAGGATGGACGGAGAGGGTCTTTTCACGAGGGTGTGTAGTGACAGGACAAGGGGGAAAGGCTGTAAACTAAAAGAAGGCAGAGGGGGGTTGGAACCAGATGATCTTCAAGGTCCCTTCCAACCCTTACCATTCTATGAGTCTATGATTCTATTTACAGGACTAGAGTGATTAACAGTAAATGCCACTTTAAAAGTATCCACAAAAGTAGTGTATATATACACTGAGTAGAATATTTGTCAACTATTATTGCAGAATTCACATAATCCAATAAGGAATATTGAAACTCTGCCTTGTAAGTAAGAAGGCTTAACCTGAGGGCTACAGTTTTCTTAAAGAAACAAAACTCTCTTAAAGCAACCGCTGGCTTTTACCTGCCAAAATCACCTTCTAAGAAGAGTCATTAAGTAGAAACTTGCTTTAGGCTGTATATAGTCAAAAGCAGTACCGCAGTTTGCATACCCCATCACTTAATGGCAGCACCATTTCTCCACTTTGTGTGGATAGCCTGCTAACAAAAGGTAGCGAGTAACACCTTTAAAGAAGGCATTAGGATATATTACCAGAAGAGGGAGAATTTTTCTTACTAATGAGCTGTAGGACACTGTAGTTAAGAATAGACGCGTGAGTTTTATATGGCCTTACTACTCCCTGAAACTCTCAACCGTATATTCTCAGCACAACCTTAGCCCAGATGCCATGAGAAGTGGGACCTAGTCTTTTCCTCCAAAGAAGATGCTCTACAGCAACTAATTCAGCATTGTCCAAACAGCGACTTATGGAAGAGTGAAAGATGCAAAGGTAGAAAAAAAATACGTGAACAACATACAGAAGTCTGCAGAAGCTGATACTCTTCTTTACAGAAGATGCCCTTGAGTTGTAAGACTACACCGCATCTCATTTCCTGATCTGTCAGACTTAAAAGGTAGATTTGACCAAGCCAATAACTAGAGCTTGAGTATGAGGGCTGCTGTTTAAGGAAGCTATGTAGTTTAATTCAACTTTAAAAAAAAAAAAAAAAAAATGAAACCAAACATTTACAAAGAAAAAAATCTCTCCCATCAGGAAATTTCTAAAAAAACCCACTTTGTTCTCACTGTTGGATTTTTTCCCCCCCACACTCAATTTTGAAGTTTTAAGGTTTTTGCTTTCCTTCTCAGATAACCCCAGGTCTCTCAAATCTTTCAGAATTCAAACTTAAAACTATCTAATATAAACATGGATTTTGCATCTATTTTTTCCTCACCTTTCCCTCAGAATGGGTCTGGAGAAGAATCTGTATTTTGCTATTTCTAAGCAGCACAACCGTGTGCATCTTAATTTTGGAAAAGTGACACAAAATAAGGGAAAACATTCCCTTAAACTCTTATTAGGTATTAGCATCTACTAATACCAGTAATGACTTGCCAGCATCAGCACACGTTCAACAGTTAGTTTTATTAGTAGTTTGTGTTCCCTCCCCCCTCACCTCATCCTGGTAACACAGAACAACAGAAGAATTCCCTGCTCTGACAGAAGACCTTGTTCAGATTTTAAGTAACTTCCCTGAAAACTGAAAATAAAACCAAAAAGTTCCAAGGGTCTCAAGAAAAGTTGTTAAATTTTAATCATCCGCTCAGCAATAGCATTATCCTGTTTAAGCCCCTCTCCAGTCAGGTACAAACTGAATATCAATATGATCCATTACATAAGTAATGCAACAGCTCTCCAGAAAGCTTATATTAATCATTCACTGAACAAAGTTTTAATAAGCTGAACCTCTGCACCTGCAAGCTTCTCATGCTCTGGAAGTCATATAGCTTAAATACAGTTCAAGTGAGTGGAATGCTGTAGCCACAGAAACAGGGTGACATCAGTATTTGAATATCAGTGAAAAACTTACCATTTCTGGCTTTGGAGATGTTGAGACCTGTATTTTGTCTTGCAGTTTATTGCTAGTTGCTCTCCTAGTTCTGCTACTGCTTTAAAAAAAGAGAAGACATCTTAAATCCTCCTACAACATAACAAAGAAATGCATTTTTAGAGTAAGTTCACATGGTCCAGGTGGTAGTCTGCAGGCTGAATTCACACTGAAGCGTTTCTATTCAGCTTGCACTCTTCCTCCAGGTAAAACAAATGGCTAAGCAACCACTGATCAAGGCCCAGGCTGCCTAACATCCCTTCTTGCACCATGAAGAGCTGGCTAACAGAGGGGAAGAGAAGAGAACAGGCCCTATTTACTGCAGGTGCCATTCTCATCTTTAAGGGTGATCACCAACCTGTCTGGCCTGATGCATCTGCTACAGGTCAAGTTTCTGACTGCTGCAGTTGAGGAGGAAGGGGACACAAGGAGTTGAAGCTCAGCTACTGTAGTCGTCAGGGGCCAGGCCATTTGAGGCGAGTTTGACCGTGGACGCATAGTTCCTACCACACTGACAGGTTCCAAAACCTGCAGTTAGGCACCAGAGCTGGCATCGGACTACGCAGCGATTAACAAAACCAGTATTGTCTCCTAGCAGCTAGGAAAATATATTGACAGCTCAGAAGAGAAACATCTCAGTTGAAAGTTACAAATGCAAATTCTTCCTCAAATGCTTCACAATGCATTACACAAAACATGTAGCACTATTGTATGTGACTGAAAACCCAGACTATTATGGTAGAATGGGTTGGAAGAGACCTTTAGAGGTCACCTAGTTCTAACGCCCCTGCCATGAGCAGGGACACCTTCCACTAGACTAGGGTGCTTAAAGCCCCATCCAGCCTGTTCTTGAACACTGCCAGGGAGCGGGTATCCACAGCTTCTCTCGGCAACCTGTGCCAGTGCCTCACCACCCTCAGGGTAAAGAATTTCTTCCTAATATCTAATCTAAATCTGCCCTCTTTTAGTTTACAGCCATTCCCCCTTGTCCTGTCACTACACACCCTTGTGAAAAGTCCCTCTCCATCCTTCCTGTAGTCCCGCTTCAGGTACTGGAAGGCTGCTATAAGGTCTCCCTGTAGCCTTCTCTTCTCCAGGCTGAACAGGCCCAACTCTCTCAGCCTGTCCTTGTAGGAGAGGTGCTCCAGCCCTCTGATCATTTTTGTGGCCTCCTCTGGACCCGCTCCAACAGCTCCATGTCTTTCCTGTGCTGAGGGCTCCAGAGCTGGACGCAGGACTCCAGGTGGGGTCTCACCAGAGCGGAATAGAGGGGCAGAATCACCTCCCTCGACCCGCTGCCCACGCTTCTCTTGATGCAGCCCAGGATATGGTTGGCCTTCTGGACTGCGAGTGCACACTACCGGGTCATGCTGAGCTTCTTGTCAACCAGCTACCCCAAGTCCTCCTCCTCAGGACTGCTCTCAATCCATTCTGCACCCAGCCTGTGTTTGTGTTTGGGATTGCTCTGACCCACGTGCAGGACCTTGCACTTGGCCTTGTTGGACCTCATGAGGTTCACACAGGCCCACCTCTCAAGCCTGTCCAGGTCCCTCTGGACAGCATCAGTCCTATTCTACAATTCTATACCACCTCAAGTATAGAAAATTGCAAGCCAGACTTCCTATTTAGATGGGAACAAATTTCAGGCTGAAATTTACTATTTGCAAAAACATTGCTACACCATGAACTAATGTTAGAGCTAGAACCTTCTATACTCCTTCACAGCACTGGCTTCTATAGAGAAACTTCTGTTGCTTATTAGGTGATGTTATACTAAATGTCCAGACATTAGACAACAGCAGAAAGATTTTAATACAAGTCAATAAATAGAAGCACTACTAATTGTTGATAGGCGCCCATGTTCTGTTTACAGAGCATTATGTCTACCTGCTGGTCATCACACAGGCTGGATTTTATTACAGTATATTTGCTTTTAGCAGAAAAATAGTGAATTAGTAACTATAAAAACACAACAGAACTAGATCAAGTGGATTGTGAGCATATGCAGCATAGCCTGAGTAGAAAGAGGGAAAAAAGTTATGTGCAGAAGGAAGGTTACAGAAGAAAACAGCAAAGTGGCATCTGAAATAAGAGCTCTGCCGTAAAGGTATCCTGTCCTGTCTCAGACTCTAGAGGACCAGATAACACACTTCATGAATTACATCTATTATACCTTTGGTTAACAAAAACTTTTAGTATTCGCTGACAATAAAAGGACTTTAGGAAATCTGTGCCGTCACCAGTCTTGTGTGGTATCACCTTTTGATTGAGGTTCTCTGCAAGAACTGCTATTTGCATCTTTCCCACCAACCATGGACCTTTCTAAAGGAATGTAAGCCATAGCAGAATGCTGATACCTGATCGATCCCTGGTTGTCTTGAATGGGCACGCCAGAAAAGGTCTTTTTTCTTGATAGATATTCTTCAAATTTTTGTCGTCTTTGTTCTAGTAGGTTAAAAAAAAAAAAAAAGGATTTATTACATTTTCAGCTAAAATAGTAATGCCAAACTTTGTCTCTTCGAAAAAGGGAAAAATTAGAAAAGCATCAAGACATTATGAAACAGACACCATAGATCAAGAAAATCTTTAGTTTAATATTCACATCTTATCATGTCTTATACATTCTCTCATTTCTCAAGAAAGGCTATATTGGGCAGTTGAGTGTAATTTCAAAGCTATACAAGATGGCTATTTTAGCTTAACGCAACAAAAGAAACACGGGTTTGTGATGGGAAGAACTCAGCCTTGCTCTTTTACCTCCTGGATGCCTGTCCAGTGTTTCACATACTTACTGTTGGCTCAGCGAGCACAATTTTCCCTTGGACAGTAGTAAGTATAGCACACATGAAAAACACAATGTACATGAACCCAAATGACTATCTGCAAAATCATTTGCTTCTCTTCCATTGTCATCTGGACATCTGAACAAGTGTTAGACCAACGGAATGTTAATAACAGCACATAATTATCCTGAAAAGGTCTTAAGCCAGCTGTCACTGTCTTAATACAGAACGTCATTCCAGAATGGGATACTATTTCCCACACATTCACTGGCTTACTGTACACCAGAGACTTACATCCTTCATAGATTACATTGTTGATCTTTTTCAGAGACCTTTCCTTATTCCCATATGGAGCTAGTGACCTTGGCTTTTTGGAAACAGCTGGGATAAGATGGTCCTGCCACCCAGAGTAAGCTCAAGCATCCACACAGCCAGTCTAAGATGGTTAAGACTCCAGGTCTTACAACTGTTTCACGTGCAGTGGGATGTGAGAACAAGAACTTAAAGCATTATCTTTGAGTCCGAACAATTCCTTCATGGCATTCAGGAACTCGTGGCATTACACCACCCTCCATCACAGACAGGCTCATTCAGCAGTGACAGCTCATTAGCAGTGACATTCAGCCATAGGACAGGCTCATTCAGTCTTCAGTGAACTCACATATGAAACCCAGCTTCTGGCCCTCCTAGGCAGGCACGAGTCCCCTTTTGAATCTCTTTGCACGTGTTCTTTATCTTTCATATTTTGTCTTGCCCATTGTTCTTGATTCACACTTCAGAAATCTCTGCAAGGTCCATCAACATGGTCCCTCAATGCTGAGATACTTCTGTATTACTGAAGCTCAGACAGTAGAAATTGTTAAAACTTTATTGCCTTTGAAGACCTGAACATCATCTTGAAAAGAATTAAGCGCTTGATTGCACACTCTCCATGGTAAAAAGCTGCCATCCCACAGAACAGGGTAATTACCCTCAGAATCTGCTTCTCCTAGTATGGGAGAGCTGAAAAAGGCAAGTTCTTTCTCATGCACTGACACACCAAAGCCTGAAACACGCAGCCAGCAGAATGGATTGAGACTTAAGCTTGCTGCAATGCCGCCTTTCACTTAGGATACAGAACTTCTTTAGGACAACTGTCCAAGCCCAGGCCGAATAAGCCCCAGAGGCAGCGTACGTCCCCTGCTTCTGAAGGGGTGCACACCAGAGCTGTTGCTGCCAGGAGATGCTGCACAGCAGCGAGCTCAGCGGGCATCCTGGAGCGTCCCGGGCACCTCCTGCTTCAGGGACACTGGTCTCACCGGCTCCAAACAGCAAAGCCCCGGCAAAGCAATTCAGGTCGTTTAACTTGCAGAAGCCAAACCGGTCAGAAACCGATCAACAGAAGAGTGCAGGTCGAGATCGAAGCGTTTGTCTGTTCCAATGAGATGCTTTTCAGTTAGACCGTGCCTTTTGTCACGAAAAAAGGCTTTCGCGGCGGAAGGCCTGCCTGACGGGGGGGAGCCCCGGCCCCGGCCCCGGCCGGCC